TGTCACCAGCTCTATATTTGTCCCACAACAGTCAGCCTGGCCCTCTCCTTTTGTGTCCCACAGTTTGGAAACGGACTCCAATAATGGAATGTTTCCAAGGCAAGAATTCAGTCTTTACCTTGTTCTTTGCGGTAATAAATCGCGTTTAGATCAGGTACCTCCTTTGGAACAGTCCCACTTCTCCCTTATGGTGAGAGTCCATCCCTAGTTTGGCCTTACTTCTGTGATCAAATTGCAGTAAGTGTTTTTTTTTTTTGTCCATGCTCATTATACTTGGGATGTCTTTGAATGCAGTCTGTAAACTGCCTTTATGGGACATCCTCTGAGGTTACAGCAAAGTTGAAGAAATTTGGTCAGTGGGTTGATGGCCTGAAGTTCCTACCTGTCACCCCATCTTTTTGCTGCAAATAAAGGGGGTTGGATATGAAAAAAAAAAAAGATAAATCCTATAATTTGAATTTGCCTCTTCCACTGGATGAGGGGTAGTACAGATTCCCAGGTGACAGTCAGCTTGACTTGTTACTCCAGGGCATAGGGGACACATGGCTATGCTGTGCCTCACATCACTGGCAGAGGACCATGATTCCCTTGCCTCCATGCCAGCAGTCCCAGGCAGTCCTTGGTAGCTGTCCTGCAGAGATTGATGTCTCAGATTATCTGAGTTAAGGGAGAGGTTGCTCTCAGTAGGTCAGCTGGCTCTCAACTAGCCTGCATCGGGTGCTTTCCTTATCTTTTTAATTTGAAAACTTCTTAATTTTTTTTGTTTTCCTATTGTTTCCTTTTTTTTGTTTGTTTGTTTTTCTCTAGATTCACGACTGCTGCTTGCTGATGAAATGATGAAAGTAGCTGAAATACCAAAGGTTGAAATGCTTTGGAGAGGTGGGTAGGTTGTTCAATCAGGAGGCAAGGAGCCTCCTTCCTTGAGGAGCAGGAAGTCCATAAAAAATTTGCTGTTGGTTTTCAGAGGTGAAAGTATCAGCCCAGGGTTTCCAAGCTCTTGGCCTGACATCTGGGCTCTGGGCAAGGGCACCACACTGCTTGTGTGCCACACTGGTTGGATGTGCTTGCCAACTATTTATCTCCAAAGGAAAGCCACAGAATAGCATTTTAATGTGATGTTAATTTGCAGGTTTTTCTAAAAAATAGATTTTGCAGTTAAGGCATTGTCTTATCTTGCAGTGGACTTGGCCAGTGCTAGGTTACCAGTTGCACTTGCTGATTTTAAAGGGCTTTTCCAAAGTAACTGAATCCATGATTCTATAATGACTTAGGAGTGAGGACATGTGATGAAGGGCTCTTTCAGTCCCGTGCACAGGCTGATGTACAGAGGCATGAAAGCAGCCTAATGGGAATTGGTTTGAAATATTCTTGGCTATGAAGCAGAGGGGAAGTACAGGAAAAGAAAACATCCACCAAATCCACCTAAAATGATGTCAACTGGGCTGAGAGGCTCTTCTGTTTGAAAGACATAGCTATGCTTGCCACTTTGCTTTGTTTCTAGTAGTTTAAAATGTCTCTGCAATTCGTATTATGGAAAATATATAACTGGCTAATACCATTTTAGGAGTCATTATTTCAAATGGAAGAACTGCAAATACTCTTCCAAAATGAGAAGGCAGCTCATATGATACCAGAAGTTGAAGTTGCTATGATAGAAGATGCATAAAATTGTTTGTTGTTTTTGTTTGAACCATGTTAGACTGCTTATTGAGCAGGTTCTTTGCTGGAATAAACCAAAGTAATCAGAAATCTGCCCTGAATTTCCACAGTCTCTCTGAATTCATTCAGTTCCATCCACAGACATATTTCTAATGTATGAATGACTTCTGAACTCCACCCCATGCCTCAGAGCTGTTGACTGAGGTGTGGTGTTGGGAGTCTTTAACAGTGCCCCTGTTTGGGTCTGAGTTGTGCTGCTGCTTTGGGCAAAGGAGGACATCATTCCACAGGGACTTGCAACCAGGGACTGGCAAGGACTTTTGAGGGATGAAAACCCCATGGCAGAAACCTGTGCCACCAGCAACCTCCATCTCGGAGAACAGGTTTTGGGACAGCTAAAGGTGTAGACAGGTAGCTGCGGGCTTTCCAAAAATCCTTTTAGGGGATTAATGAACTTCTGAAAATGCTTTTACCAATGTCATTTGTCAAAGGGCTTCAGCACGAGGTTTGCTGAGGTCCTGAAGAGCCCTGGTCAGGGTGTTCACTTGAGAGCTGGAGAAGGAGCTCGCTTGCTGCCATGCTCCTGCTCACTGGTGAGTCTGCTCTGGGCTGCAGGCAGAGTGCAGAGGGCCAGAGCTTTACTGAGCACCAGGAGCTGCCCCCATGAGCAAACTCCCAGCAGAGCCACTGGCAGATGGATACCAGGGCAGCCTTCCTGGCCCAGGGTGGAGCAGCGCCACAGAGCGGGCGCCCCTCACTCCCCTCTGCAGGTTCCTCTTCTGCACCATGGAACTCCCCCTGTGATGATGCCTGAGGGGATTTCATGGTCTCTGGTGCAGAGAGAGCTCCTGAACAAGCCACAGTCCTCCAAAGGTCTCTGCTGCCAGACTTATTGTCCCCAACATACCTCTAACAGGTCCCCCTGGCTTAGGGACTGAGTTCAGCCAGTGGTATTTCAGGGAGACAGGAGAGGCTTTGTACCCACAGAGGAAGGGAAACCTTCCTGAAGGAAAGGAGGAGTAAACTCCTGGGTGCAAGAGCATTTAATGTGTGTGCCCTGTGGCTCTGCACTGCCCCTTTCTGTAGGGACCCACTTCAGAGAGCCCGTGGCAGCTGCTTTGAGATGACGTCTGTCTCTCTTTGCCTCTGTACCTTGTGTGCAATTCCCAGGTGAGTCAGCTGGGACTTCAGAGGGGTTTGGTGAAAGCAGAAGCCATCTTTTTGTGCACTGAGGGCTTGTTAGAGACTGTTGAGAAGAAACAGTCACTTTTCCTGGCATGCCTTTAGTCAGTGTGACCTTAAGAGTGTGAAAAACAGGGGGCCCGCAGTGACTGCCGTGGTTAAACAGCAGCAAGAGCATTTTCACAAGAGGGCTTCAGTCATTAACTCAGAAAACTTCCATGAAGGCAGCAGGGCTTTTGGGTAAGGTTTGAAGAGTCAGGCACTTCAATGGTGTGGAAAACACCAGAAATGGATAAACAGGCTGTGAGGTGCTGGAGTGTTTGCTTTACTAGCAAGGCTGGTTAGGGAGGAATTGTCTCTTAGGATATGCAAAAAGCACCCAGTGATGCAGCATTTAATGGGGACACCACAGCTGAGTTATTGATCACAGCTTTCTACTTTGCAGACCAAAATGGTGGTCCTACATATTTTTGGCATCCTAAATGGAAATGGGTGATATCCAGAAACACTGAGTAACGAAGCCAGCAAACTTAATGAGATTAGAATGTCTTACTCATGAGAATACTGATTTACAAAGGCTGAGTGTGCATGTAGGGGTCTGGCTTTAATCATCTCCTCTAACATTAAGGCAACTGGAGATAGTTTTCTGATAGAGCTCTTGCTGCACAAAGCAACAAACCACCCAGCCAGGTAATTTCCTACATAGGTATTCTCTGGGGATGTTATGACTGACTTTATCTTCTCTTAACATGCAACTTACCTACCTCTCCATCTATACATGGATTTCTTTGGACAAGAGAAACTATTTTATAAAAATATTCTCCAGTATTTGAGAAAAAAGTTGGGTTTTTTTCTCATTATGGGTTTGACCTAGTGCAGATCCAATCTGCATGTTTCACCCTGGTCTTGAATTTGCTGGTTTAAAAACCACAAAAGAGAAGACATGAGAAGTGTTCCTTTTACAGTGATATATTTCAAGATGGTTTTATACTTAGTGAAATTACAGCTGGCACCCTAAGTACCGCACAGTCTTAACCCTACAAATTGAAACTGGATTTTTAGAAAGTCTTTCAGATGCCTTTTGGTAAAGCTGTGGTTACTTGTCTTGATTTATGGTAGCAGTCACCTCCAGTATCAAAGATGCATTCCAATGTTCCAAAAGTGCCTTGGCTCACGACCGAAAGGATTTCATACTGGCCCTGCCAATGCTTTTTTTTGGAGGATGGATGGTGTGTTACAAACACAATGCCTCAAAACGCCTGCATTTCTCACTTCTCCCTCCGAACGCGGCGATAATTACATTTAAATTTCAGAAGATGGCGTTGAAGATTTGCAATTAATATCCTAAACCTGCGGCGCAGCGCGGTGACAGATTCTGTGACCTGAGACGTTGCAGCAGAGAGGATGTGGATGGATGTGCGCTGGGGACGTTAGAACAGACCAAAACCAGAGTGTCGTGGCGCGGCACACGTGCTTGAAACCCAAAGGGCGGCAACAGAGGCTTTCAGCAAGCCCGGAGCTCGCTCCTTCATCCACCAGCTTCCACCACGTTAAGGCAGGAGGCTCTGAAGGCAGGCGAGCCGGCGGGTTGCAGCCCTGGTGCCTCAAGATGGCCTTTGCGGAGGCAGCATCCCCTGGGCTCAGCCGGCCGGAGCTGGTGGCTGTCCTGCTCCCGCGGCTGCCGCCCCGTCGGGGTTCGCTGCCTCCAGGGCAGTGTCCCCCCACCTTGCCCCCCAGTCCACACCTTTCGGGCTGCAAAACACGGAGCGGGCTGGACGGGGACAGCCCGAGCCTTGGGGGGAAAGGAGGCGGGTGTGTGCCTCGTTCCGCTCCGCGATCCCGCTCTGTGGCCCGAGCAAAGAGGCGGCAGAGGGTGCCGGCAGAGGGTACCGACCCCAGGCACGGCGTGGGCTGGTGGGCGATGCCCCCGCGTCTCCCCGAGCATCCCGGGGGCCCGGCCGGCGCCGTCTAGGACGGTTCTGGTGGGTGTAGCGAACTGGGTCTTTACAGTAAAAGCCGACCGGCTCTCACTGGTAGGAGTTTCCCTGGGCTATTTATGTATGTGCGTCTGTCTGTAAAGATTTAAAAAAACCCAGCCCAGCGGGGACGCGGAGAGCGCCGGGCTGCACGCCCTCCCGCCCGCAGCGTGTTTACCAGCAATGGGTATGTGTCACTGCCTCAGATGTTTTCCAGCTCGCCAAGTCCCCGGTCCCCTCCGCCGGCTCCACCTCCGGGCCCGCCTCCCCCCCGCCCGGTACGACGCCCTCCATCATATAAAGAAACTTCCCGGTGCCGCCGGCCCAGTCGCTCTGCGCCCCGTCTCAGCGGCCGTGCGGCAGCCGGCGGCCCCTGCCCGCTCCCAGCGCCGCCACAGAGGTAAGGGGGGCGGCCGAGCCCCGGGACCCCCAGCCCCGCCGGGCACAGCGCTCCCGCCGCCGCGCCCGGCCAGGGAGGCGGGCTGGGCGGTGGGGCGCCTCGGTTTCCCCCGGTGGGCACTTCTGCGGCTGTCGGCACCTGAGCGAGCCCTTTTTTTTTATTTCTTTCTTTTCCCCTTCTTTTATTCCCCCCGCCCCCTCCCCATTCTATTTTTTCCTTAATTTAAAGCAAAAGAAATAATACCCGCCCGTTATCTGCTCCTGAGGTGAAGGCGCACACCGGTCCCCAGCCCGGCCGGTTCCCGCTGTCATCGGGAGGGTCGCGGGAATGTCTGGGAGGGATCCGCTTCGTGCGCAGTGAAAGAGGGGAAAGCGACTTTTTTGGGGTCTTCCCACGGACTCCTACGGGCTGCGGGCTGGGGAGCCGTGGTCCCGAACGTGTCCCACCCCCCCAGACGCACCATGTGCAAGGGAGATGCCGGGTACCGGCTTTGGTGTCCGGAGGGATGCTGCCCCTGCGGAGGCGTGTTAGGGGCGTGGAGCGTGCTGCCCATCTGCCCACAGTAGTGTGCGCCTGTTTGGCAAGGGTCTTGGAAAGGCTCCCTGTGGGTAGAGGCAAAGATTCCTGGTGAGGAATCGCTCACTTTTGTTAAATGTAATAGGGAGTTGGAGTGGGAAACCACCAAACAAGGATTTCGGGCATTCAAGCATTTTCCAGATCGGTGAGACAAACCTGACGCCAGGTCCCCATCCCTGGTGCCAGTGTCCTGGAGTTCACATCTTCCCAGGAGCCGTGCCGCTCTCCGTGCGCGCCTGCGCCTCTGCGCGCAGCTATAGGGCTCTGTGTGGGGGGCTGCGAGCTCCCACGTTCCTGGGGACATAAGTGCCCTTATGCCGGGCTCTGTGGGTTGCTGTCTTTCCACTTTTAGGTATATGCAGTGTATAGATTTGAATGTTGCTATGTGTGCGTGCTGGGAGCAGTTGGAGGGGTAGATATGTATAGGACATCATGTGTTCCAGTGTGTCTTGCTGAAGTGAGCTTGTGAAAGCTACTTTGGTGTTATAGATAGATGCCGTATAAACCATAACTGCCTGTGAAGCCCTCCGGATCATGTGCGTGATATGTCTGATAGCACATATGTGCACGATCATATGCAAGTCTATTTTAATGCAATTTTTTCCTCATTTGGTTGAAAAGTAAACTCCCAGTTGAACTCTCAGCAGGACAAGGGAGTTGTGCCTTAAGTCACAATAAAAATTTCAACGACCGATGTCTGTTCATGCAAAACAGTATCGGGACAGGGGGAAGTCTGTCGAAGCCTGCAGCACAGGCAGTGCCTGGGGAGGGCTGTGGGGGGCTGTGCCCAGTTTCCTGAGGCTCTGTACCGTGTTTCCCGGGGCCCCAGGGCCTCGCTGCGTGCTGTGGCTGCTGTTTGGTGTGGCGTGTGTGGCATCAGGGTCTGGGCACCGCTGGTGCGGACTTAGCCCAGCACTTAACCTGTGGGTTTGCCTCTCCCCACATCCTGCCCATTTGCCCCTCCTCCGCAGCCTTCCAGAGAGCCGGTGCTTGGACGTGTGTGGAGAGGTCAGCTTGGTGGGGCACCCCAAAACCCCTCACCCAACCTCTGACACGAGTGGCATGAACTTGGAGCCGGGCGAGTGCGGGATGAACTCAGTGAGCTGTGGCAATGGGAAACTCCGCCAGTGGCTGATCGACCAGATAGACAGCGGCAAGTACCCCGGGCTGGTGTGGGAGAACGACGAGAAGAGCATCTTCCGCATCCCCTGGAAGCATGCTGGCAAGCAGGACTACAACCGGGAGGAGGACGCTGCCCTCTTCAAGGTAAGGCTCAGCCTGGGCTTAGGATTGTGGAGCACTGGCAAGGCAGGAGGGATGCCCCTCACCATCCCATCCTTTGCCACCTGCCTCAGCAGCTGGTTCTGCTGGTTGGCTGCTGCTGGACACTGCCTGGCAGGTGAAGCAGGCTGTGCCCTGGTGTCCCTGTGTTTGTGGGACAGCCCACCCTTCCACAGTTCTCTACGGGGAGCTAAATGCTTCTGGGACCACAGCACATCTGCTTCCAGATTCATTCCCCTTTCTTATGCCCCTAAACAGTTTTTTGTACCTTACCATGCTGCGATTTTTTAGCCTCAACCTGTAGGGAGTAAATTAATGAACAATTCATGCACATGTAAGCACACACACATATGCTGTTTCAAGCATTGTGCCTTGTACTTGATTCTTTTCTTTCTTTTTTTTTTCTCTCTCTCTCTTTTTTTTTTTTTTTTTTTTTTTTTTTTTTTTTTTTTTTTTTTTTTTTTTTTTTTTTTCCATTTTCCTGCTCTTTTGATTATCTGAAATGTTTCCAGGCTTGGGCTCTTTTTAAAGGAAAGTTCAGAGAGGGCATTGATAAACCAGATCCCCCTACCTGGAAGACAAGATTAAGGTGTGCTTTGAACAAGAGCAATGACTTTGAAGAACTGGTGGAGAGAAGCCAGCTGGACATCTCAGATCCCTATAAAGTGTACAGAATAGTGCCAGAAGGAGCCAAAAAAGGTAAAGCATCTCAAATTCCCTGTATAATGTGAGTGTGAAAATATCTCATTGCAAGGATATGAGGACTGAAGTGTGCTTTTCTGGAATGGCCCTGCAGCCTTTGTTAGTCTTTTAAGGGACCAAAATGAGGGCTCAAGTGCAGCTTGTTCTGGTGACTTGAGAGGCTGTGTCTGCGGGAGGACTGCTGGCATTTGAGTTGGAGCACTGAAAGGGAGCCCCTGCAGGAAGATGCAGACAGGCGCCTGCACATCATTGGAGGAATTGCTCTTTTAGCTGGAGCCTCTCTGCCAGTTCTGTTTAGTGAGAGCCAAGCAGGAGGCTCAAGGGACAGGCAGAAAAAAAAAGCATGCTGGATCTAGGTTCTGAATACAGGGAAGAGCAACTTCGGGGAAGACAGTAAGCAACTGCCTTGAGTGGAAAGAGCTGTGAGTGAGGGATGCCCAGCCTTCAGCCTCCAGGGCAGGGGCAGGGCAGTGCCTGCTCTCCATGAAGACCCTGGTGCCAGGCAGGGCCTGTGAGAGGTGAAGGCTTGGCATCTTTGTGCACGAGGCTGGGACACGCTGTGCTGTTGGGGCACTGCAGAGCCCAGAGGCACAGACTGCCTCCCAGACCTGACTGCAATGGGAGCCAGGAATCCAGTCCCAAGTGGGCACTGGAAGGCATTTTGGTCCTCTCTCTGTTCTGTGGCAGGTTGTATGGATTTGCCTTTATTGTGCTGATTTCAGATTTCCTTAAGATGTGGAATAATTTATTTTCATCCCTTAGGTGCAAAACAGATCAGCATGGAGGAACAACCATTAATGATGAACCATCCCTTTCCAATAACATCTCCTTACACTGCACTACCGTCCCAGGTATGGCATTAGTTGAGTGTTTTTCTTATTTGGTGCCTCTACACTGAGCAGCACAATTTCTGTGCTGTGTCTGTCCTTGCTGGTGGGGCTCTCAGGTTCTCCCTGTGAAGAAACTTCATTATGACAACTGAGAAATTGAGAAGCAACTTTTCTAATGTCAGATGAGGCCACAGGGCAATTGCTTTCCCTTGGTGTTGTTTATCCCGGAGTAATAGCTCTTTTCTGTTGGACGACAGTTCCTAGTGCCCTGCCATTCTGTTGGTGCCAGAATGAGAGCACCCAATGAAGCCTTGCTCTTTCAAGCAGACATTTACCAACAGTGCTTTGACTGCCTTTTGTTATTCCACTCCGCTTATTATTTACACCAGTGGTGAGAAACTCATTTGAAAGCCTCATTGGTGGTGGTGGCCAAGTGCCATCCGCACAGCTCAGACCTCCACGGGCTTTGGCAGGCAAAATCAAGGAGCTGAGATGAGAAAGTTGATGCAATGCATAGCATTAGTTCTGACACTGCCTACTAAAAGAATACCTTGTTAAATTGGACAGGTACCGAACTACATGATGCCCCATGAACGGAACTGGAGGGAGTTTGCCCCGGAGCAGCCACATCCTGACATCCCGTACCAGTGCGCCAGTATCCCCTTCGCCGCTCGCGGGCATCACTGGCAAGGGCCCGGCTGTGAAAATGGTAAGAAGCCCCTGTTTAGGGCTGCTTGCTGAGGCTGGCCACCTGGAGGAACCTCACATTCCTCAGGCTTATTATTTGTGGCTTTGATTGGAATTAACAAATGTGGATGGGGAGGAGTGCTGGGAGCCACCTTTGTCCTGGCTCTTGCATTCACTGCCACTGTATGTGTGGTGTGTGGGCTGTGCAGTTCTCTGCATGGATAGAAATCAGCCCCCAAAAATCCTCAGCTCCAAAAGCCCTGAGCAATAAAGAAGGCAACCAACCCTCACAAAAACCCCAAATGGGAACATATGTTCTTTAGCTTTTCTCTCTGATTTTGGACTTCCGGAGGCATACACCAGTGAGGTTTTCCCTCCAGCCTTGTGGGTTAGACTGACATTATTCTCCCTAGAGGAAAGCTGGAATTATTACTTTATTTTAGTGCTGTGGCAGTGGGACAACTTGTCATGGATTGAGATTCTCTTGGGGCTGGTACAGCAGAAACAGAATAAAGGAATGTTTCCTTCCCCAAAGATCTCACAGTACCAGAGCCTAACACAATCATGGCTTTCCAAGCCCTGCATCTGTAGGAAAAAGGCTAAATTGTGAAAATCAGCAGTGCTGAAGTTGCAGGGAATAAAACAAAAGAGAAAGGGAACTGTGTGCTGTAGACCCTTGCAGGGTAACTCACCTGAGGATGCAGGCATTTGCTTTGTGAGGAGAAGCACCTGGTTCAGAAGGGCAGGAAAGGAGGGGAAGCAAGAAAGGACCCTTGGTGTAGGTGCTATATTTTCAGAGGACAGCTCTCTCCCAGTTTTGATGCAGAGAAATCTTTGGATTTGCTAAAAAGTAAATACTTAGTGCACTGCAACATTTTTCTGGCAGTATATTGGAATTATTAGGCAGAATGTTTTGCTTTTTAGTTGAGTTATTTGATAACAAAAAAATGAGGGTAGCAAGCAGAATGAGCTCTGCCATGAAGTACATTCTCTGCAGCACTTAAACACATTTAGATACTTTGCTGAATTTGTAGGCAGTTGTTAGTGGTTGATACTGTGTTTCTCACTGGGCTATAAAATGCATCAAGAGATGGTGGGTGTTTTTTATCCCTGTCACTCCAGCTCCTGATTGTGGTGAGTTCTGCCACTGAGAAAGGTAATGCATTCTTGTCTGCAAGTCACTTGCATCTTCCTCCAAAGACTTTTACTGGCATTAAGAAACAGACGAAAAACATCAGTTGTCCATGGTATAATCCACTTACCCAAAGGCATCTGTTGGAACAGTTCAGTAGTTCTAAATAGTTCTGTTAATAAAACCCTCATAGTCGTCTGCTTCACATTTTTCTTCACCCACATTTAAACAGTGTTAATCCCAGCTTTATTGTTATACCCATCATTAATATTTTTGGAAATATGAATTGTTTCATGCAGGTGACTTTTAAGGGCACTGTAGTCTAGTTAAAAATGTAAATTATTTCTCTAATGGAATAACATGTTAAGTAAGGAAAAGGATTAGGGGTGATATAGAAACACTAAGGGATTATTTCATGCAGACCCAATTGAAAATACAGTCCAGGTAACATCTGGAGTGATTGGCAGAGTTGGCCTACATGGAGGAACTGGGAAATAAGACCATTTTAAGAAGAAGGGGAAAGAGAAAGAGAGTTCCTGTTGGGGCCCAGGAAAACTCACTTTTGTATTGCTGTGATCTCTGCCCTAACTTTTCCTTTAGGATTTAGGCCTCTGTCACTGACTTTTGTTTGTGAAAACAGGTTGTCAGGTGACAGGAACCTTTTATGCTTGTGCTCCTCCTGAGTCCCAGACTCCTGGCATCCCGATTGAGCCAAGCATAAGGTCTGGTGAAGCCCTCGCTCTGTCAGGTAAGGTCCACAACCCCCCAGGCTTCCTGGGGAGCTTGACAAGAGACTCCCACTTCTGGCTTGCCCAGGCACCATCTCTCCTTTCAGATGAAAGGAAAAAAGAAGGAAAAAAAAAAAAAGAAACCTCTTTAATGAATGAATTTGAGTGGATGGTTGTAAGTCTGTTTTCTAGGATACTTAAGCACTTCCAGCCCCAGCTCCAAGGGATGGAGGTGGTTAAACCTTATGGAAGTGCTTCACTGGCTTGTGGTGTTAGTGCTGGGTTATGTTGGTGAGACTCCAAATCAGACCTTCCCAGGGGAGTTTGGCAATTTAGGACTGTCAGTGACTGAAAGCTCAGGTTTTCATTTGGGAGGACACCCCACCCCCCGCCCCCCTCCAAAAACTGGTAGTGCTTGTAGTGCTCCTGTTGGAGCTGTCTGGCTTTGTTCTGCTTTGCTATTCCTAGCGGGAAAAAAAGAAAAAAGACATTCAGGAAAGAAGAGGGAAGTTATTTCAGCCAGGTTTGCAGATATCTGGATGCTGGGGAATTTTCTAAGTAATTCTGGGAAAAAGTGTGGGAATGTGCTTTTCACAGAAATAATGGATAGACCTGTAAAGTGCTGCTTGGTGGGTTTCTTAAGTGGGATTGTTCTCCTGAGACAGGGTCAGTGTGGGTGTGGAGATTTGTGTTTCTTTGTGTGTGTATGTGAACATACATTGTACACACATGTATATACTATATATATGTATCTATGTATATATATATATTTTTTCAGTGCTGTGCAAATTTGTAGGAGTCAGCCAAGTGCACCAAATGGCCATTTGAAAGCAAGGCAGGGGATTTTGGGTACAGCCCTGTTGGAGCTGGAGCCAGCAGTTGCTTCTCTCCAGGCAGCTGAGTGCAAGTTTGCAGGTCCCCTGTGCAGAAGCCTTTTCTATGCAAAGTCTGGGGGGAAACATAGCTACTTCCTTGTTAAATCTGAGGAAGTGTGCTGAGCTGGTGGGTTTAATTGTGACGTGAACTTGGAAAATGTGACCAACATCAACTTTTTCTGGGCAGGTTTTTCCTTTTAAATGGAAATGTGAAGTTTGTGGAATTTTAGTTCCTACTGAATTCCCATGCGTCAGTAACCCTTTTAATAAAATGAGAGAGTGTTAATGCTACTGTGCTCCTAAAAAATTAGTATTTATATTCTTTTTATTTTTTTGACTAATATGACCTCCTGGGTGGTGCTGACCACTGGGCTCAGAAATCTTATGCAAACTTGTCTCTTGGCCTTAGCACAGATCTGAAACATAGAACATCCATACTAATTTATCATTAATTATTTTAATTATTTTAGTTATTGTTTTTTGTTTTTCTGGTTGTTTCTCCTTGTAGACTGCCGACTCCACATCTGCTTATATTACCGTGAAATACTGGTGAAGGAGGTGACAACTTCCAGTCCTGAAGGCTGTAGGATATCCCACGGGCAAAGCTATGAGGTCAGCAGCCTGGACCAAGTTATCTTCCCTTATCCAGAGGATAATGGCCAGAGGAAGAACATAGAAAAACTGCTGAGCCACCTGGAGCGAGGAGTAATTCTATGGATGGCACCTGATGGCCTCTACGCTAAGAGACTTTGCCAAAGCAGGATCTACTGGGATGGGCCTATGATGCTCTGCAGTGACCGACCCAACAAGCTGGAGCGGGACCAAACGTGCAAGCTCTTTGATACTCAGCAGTTTTTAGCAGGTAATTCCCACTATGGCTTTGATACCCTTTTGGAAATGTCACCTAGTCACTGTCCAAATCAGCTTTATGGGAGGGCTCTTTTCGTTAAAGTGGAAATTGCCCCTTGATACTTCTGGGCATATGCAGCCAAGGGGTGCTTGAATCCTGAGTAATCCTATAAATTTCTGCTCCTGCACATTCAATGCCCCTGCACAGACCAGCAGGAGTCAACTGAGGCTCAGCTGGTGACAGCCAATCTCTCACATTCCTATATGAAGCATGAGGAGGAACCTAGCAAAATAGTTTTTCCATCAATTGACACAGAAAACTGGATCCTCATCTTGGATTTGCTAGTCTAAGTCATGGACAGGTCTGTGGTCTGCACCTGCACTCCTCTCAGCTTGACCCAGAGCAAGCCTGAGTATACAAATTTCAGTAGCAAGCCTGTGCCAGTGTCTAAAAGGTAGCTAGGAATTCAGAAGGATTTCACAAACCCTGGAATTTCAGGACTGCCTAATATTCTGAGCAAGGAGGTGCATACCTCACCAGAGCTCTCTGGAAAGGTAGTGCAGGGAGGGAGCAGGGGAGTGCTTTAGGACAGCGCCTTCTCCTTAGAGCCCATGAAGGGAAGGGGCAAAGCTTCAACCCCACTTCCCAGCACACCTGCACAGCTGGAGAGAGGAGAGCTGTCCACGCATAGAAACTGGTGGGAGGTATTCATTGTCCTAGAGGACAGCTTGGGCTGCAGGAATAGACATTGGCCCTTTCTGGATATTTCTGGCATCACTTAGAGGTGAACTAAGTGGCTATTGGTGTGTTTTCTTGCTAGAACAGGGCAACAGGACTGGCATGACACTCTCAGGGGAATAATGCCTTGCAAAATTTAAAAAAACCCCAACAAATGAAATCCAAATCATCAGTTTTAGCATACTTTATATTCCAAGGTTGATACGCTGTCCTAGAGAAACAGCCAAGAAAAAAATTTATTTAAAGAGAGAAATCTTATATAGATGTGCGAATTGACAGTTAGAAAGGGGAATTTGAGGTCAGGCATTGGGTTGGGCTTCAATCACATGCTAATTTAAAGATGTATAATTCTGTGCCTGGTGATGGTTTTGGAAATTCCTTTCCCTTTTCTCAGGTGGTTTTTTAGATGTGCTCTGGGTTCTTCCAAATGATTGACAGGCCATCTCTTTTTAGATACCTAACCCCAAAGATAAGCTCAAGCAATAGTTATTTTTCACCCCTCCTAAATTACTTATGCACCAGTGCCTGTGCAAACCCAAGTGTGTGGTTGCAGTCACAGTCTGTGGTGTGTGCAAAGTGAGTTTTTGCATGTGATGATGCTCAGTGAAGTTTGGAAGTGACTTGCCATGGGCCTGACACATCTGCTGTGTTAATTGAATGTGCTGGGGTCCCAGCCTGTGAGCGAGCTCAGGGATTCCCCTGTGCTGGGAAACTGGGACTCCCCTGGGAAGAGAGGCAGATGATCTCTGACAGGGAGGGAAATCATGAACAGCAGAGAAAGGGACAGATGCAGAACTGCTATGAACCAACCACAGCTCTTGGGAAACCACTGAGGAGATGAACCCTACCATGCAAACTGCACTGGAGCATCAGGGACTGTGCTGAGAAGCCTCTGCTGCTGAGAAAGCTAAAATGGGGCAATAAAACAGAAACCAGGGGAATGTCTCTGTGAAGAGAGATAAATGCATTGTAATTGTTTTAAATTGGACTGGGTGGAGAGTAAAAGAACAGAGGAAGAGAGCTTGGAGTGTGAGGGTGGCAGCCAGAGAATGGTTGGTGGGATGGAAGGAGTGGCAGCTGGAGCAGGAGGATCAGGAGGTGGGAAAGGTTTGGGGAGACACATGGGGAGCCCTTGTGTGCTGGATGATCCACTTGGTCCTGGAAAGGAAGATGGAGCGAGTCCTGGTGTTGGGAAAGAAAGGGCTTTCTTCTCCAGGTCTGTGCTATGGACACTCCCACAGGTATTCAGGATTTGAAGAATTGCTGAGGTCAAGTAAAACAAGGGAAAGAGGAAGCTGAAAGAAGTTTTACATCAGCTGGATTTGCCTTGGGTGGATTGTCCTTCCTTGTCCTGTAGCTGCACAGAGGGAAGCAGAGTCCCATGGAAAATATCTCTTCTTTCTTGCCTTATTCCCAGAGAGCTCATGGCACATTTCAGATTTTTTTGTGGAGACTCTGGGGAAAGCTAAATTTTACTCCATGTTTGAAGTGAGCTGCCCATTGTTTTACTTGCTTTACTGGCCCTTTCAGTAAGAGTAGTAGTCCAAGCCAGGGTTGGGATTCTGTTGTGATAGCCACTGAATCCACATGTTGGTCTGAAAAGCTTGCAGTTAGAGTAGGAATGGTAGGGGTGTATTTTGGGAAAAGATGCATTTGTCATGTCAAGTTCAAAAGCTCTCCTTTCCCTCTATAGCAGGGAGGGTGCTTCATTATACTGCATTGGCTTTAGTATTAATTGCAGCTTTTCCCAGAAAGCATGAACAGGGTTATAGATTAAAATGGAATATTTACTGATCAGCTATGTAGAAATACAGCACGTAACACATGCTTTAGCAAGGATATTGTGTTAGATTGAATTTTCTCTTTTCTGGATGGAAATGCAGTGTCAGAACCACAGCATTTGGTCCACAGCACTGGAGATTTTGGTCTGAGTGGGAATACCTTATAAAGGCCTCCCCTGCTACTTTTCATAGGGGACACTGACTATTAGAATAATAATGTTTCATCACTTCACTTTGAACAACGTTACAGGTTGGCAAAGAGAGTGCAGGGGCACAGAAGACACAACTCTTTTGCTGGCTCAGGACATGGCTGAAGTGGAGCTCTTTCCCCTTCCTTATCTCAGTGTGACAGTGACCTTACCTCTGTCACAGTCTGGCTATGGCAAATTTTTGTGCCTGGCAGTATTTTGTGTCTCTGGCACTACCAAGCCATTTCAGTGCTGCTCTTGTGTGTCTGCTTGAATGGCTCCCTTGGGTGGTAGCAGCAGTGTCTGCTCCAGGGGTTCTGCAGTTGGGGGTCCCATAGAAGTACTAACTGGAAGATATCTTGGTTTGTGCATATGAAATCAATTGTGAGACAAAGTAAACAGAAAAGTTGCAGTGTTGTAACCAGCTCCCCCTGATCCGAGGGAAGGTCTCCAAACTCAGCGTCTTGTCAGACCTTTTGTCTTTTTCCTGACCTCTCTCATCAACCCCTGGTGTTACTTTATCTTCTCCACTGTGCTTCAAGGTTATCCACAAAGTCAGTCTTACTGGCCTGTACTGGTTTTGACTGCAGGAGAGTTAATTTTCTTCATAGTGGTCCTTGTGGTGCTGTGGTTTGGATCTGTGACCTAAACAGTGCTGATAACACAGGGACATTTTAGCTGATATTGAACAGTGCAAGCACGATGTCAAGGCTTTCTCCTTGTCTCATTCTGCCCTCACAGGCCACAGTCTGGGGTAGGACAAGAGTCTGGGAAGGGGCACAGTCCCTTCAACAATCCCAGCTGAGGGATGTTCCATTCCATATGACCTTGAATTCTGCAGTAAAACAGGGCATGGGGGAAGTGGCCAGAGGTTGCTGTTGCTTGGGCACTGGCCGTGTGTAGGTCAGCTGGTCACGAGTGATTGCTTTTTCCATTGCTTGTTTTTCTTTGTTTTGTCTTCTTTGTTTGTTTCTTTTTACACATTAAATTGTCTTTCTCTCATCCCACATTTTTTTTTCCTTTTCCATTCTGTTTTTCTCTCCCGTGCTGGTGGAGAGAGTGAGTGAGTAGCTGTGTGGTGCTTGCCAATCTCCCCTGATTATTCCACAGCATGGTACTTTCTCTCTTCCCAGACCTGCAAGACTTTGCTCACCATGGACGTCCTCTGCCGAGATATCAGGTCACTCTGTGCTTTGGGGAGGAATTTCCAGATCCACAGAGGCAGAGGAAACTAATTACAGCCCATGTAAGTAGGATTTCTGCCTTACCGAAAACAAGCACACTCCTTGGAGGATATGAATCTGCCAGTCATGCTTTTTGTGTCTCATGTAGATTATGAGGGAGGTAGGAAATGGTTGACAATGCAGCACTTTCCAGAGCAAGGTTTAATCCCCAGATCTGCCAAGGACTGCCTGGAAGCCTGCAGTAGGGCAGAGCACCTGATTTTCCCTTTCTACAGAGCATATCATTTGTGATCTGTTGCAAACCCCATCTAAAGCTGAAATGTGCCTGGAAATGCTGGGCTGTGTTGTTATCACCACCAGCCCAGTTGTGCAGCTGCTTGGGCCACCTGGCCACTGCAGGATGTGGTGCTTTTACAGCCACTGAACCTGAAGGTGCCCCAGAATCTCAGCCTCCATCTCAAGGGCCTCAGCCCTTAATGGGATGCAAGGGCTGCCTGTGCAGCTTCAGGGTTCAGCAGCTGTCAGGCTCATGGGTTGACTGCCCTCAGTTCACACACACTCAAAGCTGTTGTTTTGGGATGCTCTCAGAGAGAGGGTGATGGTGGAGACTGAGACTGGGTACTTTCTAAATTGGCTGTATTAGCCCATAAAACCACAAGAGAGGTGGTAATTAGTGGCAGGGCTTAGCTTGCTGCATCCTTGAGAAGAAAACCAGCATATTTTACATTTTTCAAAAGCCCCTTCAGTAGCAGGATGTGTGCCAAGTCAGCCTGCTGCCATAAGCTGTGGCCTTTGCTTAGCTGTGTTGCTTTTGTGCTGCCACACTGCTGCCCGGCAGGTCTCTGGGGTGGAAGCTGAGAAGCTCACAAATTCATCCTGAGCTGTGCAATGACTGCTTAGAGATGGTTGCCCATCCCTGACTCTCCTTCAACTTTTCCCCATTCTTATTTTGGCTTTCCAGCTTTCCATCCCTGCTTTGCAGCATTCTCCCTCCAGCTCCCATATCCATTTCTTGTCCTGGTATCTTTTCCGTGAACCTGTACCTCCTGCTGTTTCCAGAGCTTTGCTTCCCCTTTGCCAATTGCTGCATCTGCTCATCCTCTCGATCTGTCCTGACTTGTGGGCTGGTGGGGCTCTAGCATCCCACCAAACAGTTATGCACTGAAAGCTGCCTGGGGCACCTGTCCCACTGCCTTCCCATCTCCACCATGGCATTTATTTCCTCCAAAACAATGCCTGTGTCTTTTAACATGGAGGGATTGGCTGGCCAGCAGGAGAGGCTTGTGGACAAGTGTTATCCAGCCTGTTCTCCACTGGAAGTAAGGAGAGCTTCAGGTCTTTTTTCTCAGTGTACAGCTCAAATATTTACAGTCAGAGCCCAAAGCCCCGAGACA